GAGCATCATGTGGGCTCCCAAAAAGTTTTGGATTTTGAAGCATTTAAGATTTCAAGTTTTTCAGATTTGAGATACTCAGCCTGTACCAATTAATGATGAAAATACGGTCATCCCTTGGTATACATGTGGGACTGATTCCAGGACCCTCGAGTATGTCAAAATCTGCACATACTCAAGTCCTGCAGCTCCCTGAGGAACCGCGTATATGAAAAGTTGGCCCTCTGTATACATGGGTTTTGCATCTGCAAATTCTGTATTTTTGACCCACATTTGGTGGAAAACAATCCATGTAGAAGTGAACCTGTGTAGTTCCAGTCTTTGTGGTTCAAGCGTCAACTGTATGAGGCTACAGATGGTCCCTGCCCTCCTGCAGCTCACAGTCAGGCGGGAAATATGGTCAGGTAAATGTGTAGTCAGTATGTACTGACACATGCTGTGAGGAAGGCAGCACATTGCACTGTGGGAATAGTAGGAGGTGGCATCTAGTGTGACCTGGGGAAGTTTTCAGAAAGGCCTTCTACTCTGAGGTGTGAGGAATGAGTAAGGGTTAGTGGTAACAGGGAGTGGGGAAGGGGAAGTGTGATGTGGTCTGCAGGGGCGAACCAGTTTGGTAAGGGGCCAAGTGGTAGGCATTTGGGTTTGGGCTGGCCTTGGTCTCCTGCTCCAGCTCCCCAGTGCTGTTGTAGTGTGAGGGTCGCGGTGGCCATCAGTGAAGTATGGCTGGGTTCCAGTAACCCCTTATTTATGAATAGTGACAATTTCCTCTGATTTCCATGCATCATGAATAGTGTTCTTCTTTTGATGTTTTCCAGCCATTTAAAAAAGAAAAATTCATTCTTAGCTTGTAGGCCATACAAAAACCAGAGGGTTAGGGAGCCAGACTTGGCGTGCAGGATGTAGTGTGCTGCCTCTTAGTCCAGGCGCAAGGAACAGCCTGTTCAAAGGTTAAGGCGAGAGAAGCACACAGGGGTTTCTCTGAGAGCCTCTTCTTATGGGTCTCCTTGCCTCCAGGGTCTCCCTCCTCCAATCTGCCCTATGTGGAATCCCTGGATACATCGCCTTGGGCTACCTCTTTCATTATTGCTGTGCCTCTCTGGATAATCTTCTGTGATTCTTCATGAAGGTATTCAGGGTCCTCCCCTGATTTTCTGCTTTGTTTACCTCCGCTTCCTTTCATGAAGATTTGGGGAAAATCCTGCTCCACGGACAGGAATCTGTGTTTTAGATATGATTGGAGGTGCTGTAAACACTTCGGGGCTTTCTAAGCCGCTGCTCATTCCTGTGTATGCACACATAGTTTGCTTTCATTGTGAACTTTTTGTGTATTTCCTAGAAAAGTTACTTTGGGATTAATTTACATATAAAAGTCCTATATTTTCATCTTATTTTTATCCTGCCACTTCAGGTATAGGGAAACAAATGAAGAAGTCTTCAAATGTTGACTTCTAAGGCTTTATTACCTCAGACAGCTTCATTATGTTTGTGGAAATCTAGTGTGCTTTGAAGGAATTAATCTAGCCTTACTTGCAATCTGTATGTGTTTACATAGAATGAACAAACATTGCATTACGTTTCATGAAAATTCAATTATTCCTGTCTCCAGGAAACATGCTCTGCTTAGTATTTAATTCTCAAGTATGCCAAGGTGATGGTTCTCGAACTGTCGTAGGAATTGGGGAGTTGGGGTTCACTGCTTATTTCCATAATCAATGGAGAAATGTCCAGTGGAGACTTTTTATCACTAAGGTCCTCATGTAACCCATGTCTGAGGTTACAGGGGACACTGGGGATGTCAGTCTCGGTGGCATAGGGCTAATGTAAAATCCTCTCTAGATTTTTGTTAGAATTAAGAGAAGTAACATTTAAGGATGATACTCTACATAATTAATCTTTTCTTTTGGAATTTATTATGCTTATGTATGGTTTATTCAGCAGGCATTTTCTGAGATGCTGTTATTAATGGGGTACAGCAAGAGAAGGAAGGGGTGACAATCAGCTGGTATTAGTGTCTGTTGTGATTGGTTGGACCCTACTTAACTGGCAAGGATCAGTTTAAATGCTCTTTTATTCTTGAAACAGTTCTTGAGAAGTCCAACAACTCATCTCCCGCTGTGTCGTTATTGCAGTGAAGTGATTATTTTATGGAAACACCTATCACATGTCATCACCATGTCTTTTATAGTTACATGATAGTTACTAAGTGTATCCTTTTCTGCCACAAGAGTCTAACCTCCTTGAAGGTAGGACCATGCTTAATTTCTACTGGTTAGTGGCTGCAGTATTATACTGAAGAAACGGTAAGTGGGGTTTCAGCAGGCCGAGTTGTGGAGGAGACGGTTTGGGATCCAGAGTGGCCTAAGGGAATGATTTGAGTCAGGCCAGGAGCGTGAGTTTACTTGGAGTCTTTGCGGAGTGAGGTGTAGGTGGGTATAGCACAGTACTACGAACTGAGAATGGATCAGACATGTAGCTTGGGGGCTACACCAGGACGCACAGAGGCCATGCTTAAGGGTTTGGAATGGGGCACCATTGAGAGTTTCTAAACAGAAATCACATGGTGAGGTCCACATGGCCTCTCAGGGCCTTCCTGCCCTGGCCTTTGCCTGCCTCCTTGCTTTCTCTTCCACTCTTGCCTGAGGGTACTGCGTGCTCCAAGGAGCTCTTGAATGTGCCATGCACCTGCTCTGTTCAGCATTTCCCAAAGGGACCCTTGGCAGTCCTCATGCTCGTTTTTCAAACCATGCCATCTCCTTGCCTCCAGGGTCTCCCTCCTCCAATCTGCCCTATGTGGAATCCCTGGATACATCGCCCTGGGCTACCTCTTTCATTATTGCTGTGCCTCTCTGGATAATCTTCTGTGATTCTTCATGAAGGTATTCAGGGTCCTCCCCTGATTTTCTGCTTTGTTTACCTCCGCTTCCTTTCATGAAGATTTGGGGAAAATCCTGCTCCACGGACAGGAATCTGTGTTTTAGATACGATTGGAGGTGCTGTAAACACTTCGGGGCTTTCTAAGCCACTGCTCATTCCTGTGTATGCACACATAGTTTGCTTTCATTGTGAACTTTTTGTGTATTTCCTAGAAAAGTTACTTTGGGATTAATTTACATATAAAAGTCCTATATTTTCATCTTATTTTTATCCTGCCACTTCAGGTATAGGGAAACAAATGAAGAAGTCTTCAAATGTTGACTTCTAAGGCTTTATTACCTCAGACAGCTTCATTATGTTTGTGGAAATCTAGTGTGCTTTGAAGGAATTAATCTAGCCTTACTTGCAATCTGTATGTGTTTACATAGAATGAACAAACATTGCATTACGTTTCATGAAAATTCAATTATTCCTGTCTCCAGGAAACATGCTCTGCTTAGTATTTAATTCTCAAGTATGCCAAGGTGATGGTTCTCGAACTGTCGTAGGAATTGGGGAGTTGGGGTTCACTGCTTATTTCCATAATCAATGGAGAAATGTCCAGTGGAGACTTTTTATCACTAAGGTCCTCATGTAACCCATGTCTGAGGTTACAGGGGACACTGGGGATGTCAGTCTCGGTGGCATAGGGCTAATGTAAAATCCTCTCTAGATTTTTGTTAGAATTAAGAGAAGTAACATTTAAGGATGATACTCTACATAATTAATCTTTTCTTTTGGAATTTATTATGCTTATGTATGGTTTATTCAGCAGGCATTTTCTGAGATGCTGTTATTAATGGGGTACAGCAAGAGAAGGAAGGGGTGACAATCAGCTGGTATTAGTGTCTGTTGTGATTGGTTGGACCCTACTTAACTGGCAAGGATCAGTTTAAATGCTCTTTTATTCTTGAAACAGTTCTTGAGAAGTCCAACAACTCATCTCCCGCTGTGTCGTTATTGCAGTGAAGTGATTATTTTATGGAAACACCTATCACATGTCATCACCATGTCTTTTATAGTTACATGATAGTTACTAAGTGTATCCTTTTCTGCCACAAGAGTCTAACCTCCTTGAAGGTAGGACCATGCTTAATTTCTACTGGTTAGTGGCTGCAGTATTATACTGAAGAAACGGTAAGTGGGGTTTCAGCAGGCCGAGTTGTGGAGGAGACGGTTTGGGATCCAGAGTGGCCTAAGGGAATGATTTGAGTCAGGCCAGGAGCGTGAGTTTACTTGGAGTCTTTGCGGAGTGAGGTGTAGGTGGGTATAGCACAGTACTACGAACTGAGAATGGATCAGACATGTAGCTTGGGGGCTACACCAGGACGCACAGAGGCCATGCTTAAGGGTTTGGAATGGGGCACCATTGAGAGTTTCTAAACAGAAATCACATGGTGAGGTCCACATGGCCTTTCAGGGCCTTCCTGCCCTGGCCTTTGCCTGCCTCCTTGCTTTCTCTTCCACTCTTGCCTGAGGGTACTGCGTGCTCCAAGGAGCTCTTGAATGTGCCATGCACCTGCTCTGTTCAGCATTTCCCAAAGGGACCCTTGGCAGTCCTCATGCTCGTTTTTCAAACCATGCCATGGTTTATTGCCCTGCCTTTGCACCGTTCACTGGCTATTTAAGGGAAGAGGCTGGGTCTCTTTATTTCTTTGTCACCAGGGCTTCACGCACACCTAATCTTTAGTGGGTGCTTAGTAGATATTTATTGAATGTTTGGATGGGTGAATGCATTTTGGCACAAAACCTTCACTTCTGGGCTGGAAGATAGATTGGATGGAGCAGAGATGGGAGGCAGTGAGACCAAGCAGGGGTGTCATACCTGGGGGAGAAACATTGAGCCTGTGAATTACAGCTGTAGCAGTAGAAATTCAAGGGGGAAAATAGATTCTAGAGACCTGGGCAAGTAGAACTGACAGGACCCAGTGATCAGTGGATAAAATGGATGCTATGAAGAGCTAAGGGAAGTGGAAAAGTTAAAGACAGGCACCTGAAGCCCGCCTAATCATGTCATTAGATGTTTTGCAGGGTGCGCAGTGGGCGAAAGTGGGGGTATGGGATGGGAGTGGAGACCGTTCTATGTAGGTCTGTTTGAGAATCAGCTTATTGAGGATTATTGCCTTGGTTTGAAAAACTCCACTACCAAAGGCTGCACAGCATAGTAAATTGTGGAGCACTAAAGCATCCTTCGCTTAACTATTCAATTTATTTATAAATTTAGCTGCAACATAGTTCTATAAAGGATATGAGATAGTGGCATATGTAGATATAGATGTATCTGGAGAAAACAAAAACCAAGGGGCAAAAGGTAAAAGGAAAATAAGAATGTAAAAATGGCAAAGCTGGGGTGAGGTTGCATGAAGAAATACACATTTCTGTCAGTTACCACAAAAAAGCACAGATTTGGATTTCAGCTGCCTAATGGTAAAAGGAAGGAGGGAAACATAATTAATTAATACTATCTACAGTGTCTGCAAGATAAAATCATGCTCATTCTTTTTCAGAGAAAGCACAATATTCTTGACAGAGAAAGCTGAGAAAAAAATTTCCCCTCATGTATGAGGCGGAATGTGTTCCAAACAATTGAATTTCAAAATGAGCTTTCTGACATTCCTTAGTCTCTTCTTACTAGTATAATAGGATTTGATTTGCTCCGTTTAACATATGATGAAGTTAATTGTGAAAGATCTCTAGAATCCAAATCTGCCAATTATTTCCAAAACTCTATTTTTTCTCTTTTACACCAATTGTTCTATTGGTGAGTCAATACTTGCAGCTCCTGTGTGTGTGGTAGGTTGCCAGGTGCCCCAGATGGTACCAAGGTATGTAGGAATTTTTGAAGGAGCTCACCGTGCCAGTGGGTAGTCTAGGCATAAACACATGGAAAGTATGTTAAATGCAAGAGTTGAATAATGAGAAACCGTACAGGAGAGCCCACAAAGCTGTGCCCGATTTACTGCTATGTACCTGCTTAGACACCAGGTGGGGTCTGTGAATTCAAAAGACGCCAAGACCAGTGTGGGCTGGAGGAGCCAAGGGAGGTTTCACAAGGCGGGATGCTTTTGATAATAGCACCAATATTATTATTATTGTTTAGCTTATATACTAAATTAAAAAGTTGATTATTTTGACATTTTTTTTGGACTGTTGTTGTTTTTTTTTTTTTTTAAAGCATTATGCCTAGTACTTTTATCAATGCCATTTGGGGTTACTAAGTTCTCCCTCCAGTTTTTTTTTAGACCCATGGACATGCCTTTCTGCTGTCACTCGTGAATGCTATCAAATAATCCCTACATCCTAATTTACATGCCTTTCTGCTGTCACTTGTGAATGCTATCAAATAATCCCTACATCCTAATTTATATGTGCTTATGTCAAACTGCTTGTACTGTTCTGAAACTATCAACACTTGTTTCTTTAAATTTATTTATTTATTTATTTATTTATTTAGAGAGGGAGTCTCGCTCTGTTGCCCAGGCTGGAGTGCAGTGGCATGATCTCTGCTCACCGCAACCTCCGCCTCCTGAATTCAAGCAATTCTTCTGCCTCAGCTTCCCCCTGAGTAGCTGGGATTATAGGTGCGTGCTACCACATCTGGCTAATTTTTTGTGTTTTTAGTAGATATGGGGTTTCACCATGTTAGCCAGCCAGGATGGTCTCCATCTCCTGACCTCGTGACCCACCCGCCTCAGCCTCTCAAAGTGTTGGGATTACAGGCGCGAGCCACCGAGCCCGATCTTGTTTTTTAAGGAATAATCTTTTAGCAGTCAACTCTCGGTCCCGATAATCTCTGTATAATCTCTGGATTCTCATTGCTGTGAGGGTAAAGGTCCAAATCTGTAGTGACTGTGTCCTCTGAGGAAAAGCCTGCTCTGCTCTCTTCTGACCAGCTCTCTGGCCATGCAGAGCCGCCTTCACCGTCATTGCAGCTGAGCAAGCCTTTTGGTTCTCCCTTCCTTTGCTGGGACTGCCTGGGCACATCTGATGACCCTGTGACCCGCTCCAGTAGCATCTGCATATCTACTTCACGGCAAGCATCACCACTGTAGTAAACCAATTGTGATGCTATCTTTATTTAATGTCACTGATTCTGACTTCCCCTTCCCAGGACTGCAAGTGCCATGAGGACAAAGACCTTGTTGGTCGTAGACTGCTGACCCTCCAGCATCTAGCACGATACCTGGCACAGAGCTGGTGGTCACGTGTACTTGTTTTTGATGTCATTGGGAGGAGATTTCCTTTTCCGGTTTTCATTCAAAACCATCTTGGTTATTGCTTATTTGTTTCTTACCCTGCAGATGGTTACCAAGCAGCTTTTTGATTTTTAAATCTTTGCAGAAGATTCCAAAAAGCCCCTCCGAAGATCACACAAGCCTCTATTTTATTGCCTTTCAAAATATATACACTTTTATTGCCAAGGGAAAATTTTTGAAGCTTGGGTATGCGTTAGTCTCCAGGGAACCAGCAGGGAAGGCCAGATTGTGAGTGTTAGTGGAGTAATGTCTGATGTCGTTTACCGAGCAGTTTCAAAGCAGAGTAATGGAGGTAACCTCAGCAATTCTACACAGCAGCATTGAAAACGCACAGAGTGTTGCTTTCATTTCATTGACCTGAAATCAGCTTGTTTCGCCCATCCTACTTCTAATTTGTTTTTATTGCCTTAATATTCTGTGTCATGGAGGTTCTAAACATCTTTAGAATAAAATTCTTTGGAGATCTATAAACTGCTGCTTTCTAATTTCATTGCTCTTAATTATAGGTCATTGAAAGTGCAAAAAACAGAAGTAATGCAGGGTAGTAGAAACAGCATCAGGAGGCCTGGACAATAGTTTTTAACTAACTTATTACTGCCTGGCTGACTGTTTGCCCTAGAGGAATCCTTTGACATCTCTGAGCCTCAGTTTCTCATCTATAAAAGGAAGCTATTAGAAATGGTATTTAAGATTATTTATTATCTCAGTTTATACTCCCTCCATGCATCAAGCTTCATTTGTTCACTTAACAAGGCCGGGTGCGGTGGCTTGTGCCTGTAATCCCAGCACGTTGGGAGGCCAAGGCAAGCAAATTGCTTGAGCCCAGGAGTACAAGACCAGCCAGGGAACATGGTGAAACCCCGTCTCTCCAAAATTACAAAAATTAGCTAGGCACAGTAGCGTGCATCTGTAGTCCAGCTACTTGGAGGGCTGAGGCAGGAGGATTGCTTGAGCACGGAGGTCGAGGCTGCAGTGAACTGTGATTGTGCCATTGCATTCCAGCCTGAGTGACAGAGCAAGACCCTGTCTCAAAAAAAAAAAAACAAAACCCAAAAAGCAAAAAAAAGAAACAAATATTTATTACATGCCGACTATGTGCCAGGTACTCTCCCAGGTGCTTGAGATACAGCAAAGTGCAAACAAAGCAGTGTTCTTGTCCTCCTACAGCTTGCATTCACTCAGCATTTGAAGGGCCTACTATTTAGTCCCAATTTATGAAAGGTTCTGTGTGATTAAAGGCTGTGGCTGGAGAATATGTTGAGTAAAGAGATGGGCAGGGTTGGTCAGGCACAGTGGCTTATGCCTGTAAGCCAACACTTTGGGAGGCCAAGGCAGGTAGATCATGAGTTCAGGAGTTCGAGACCAGCCTGGCCAACATGGTGAAACCCCATCTCTACTAAAAACACAAAAAATTAACCAGGCATGGTGGTGCACGCCTGTAAGCCCAGCCTCAGGAGGCTGAGGCAGGAGAATTGCTTGAACCTGAGAGGCAGAGGTTGCAGTGAGCCGAGAAAGCATTACTGTACTCCAGCCTGGGCGACAGAGTGAGACCTCTGTCTCAAAATAAACAAACAAACAAACAAACAAATAAATAAATAAAAGAGATGGGCAGGGTCATTAGCAGGCAGGATTGAAAAGTGAGGCTCCATCTTGCCTTGGCTGGTGAAAATGGCTCCCCCAGGGCATGGCCCCCCGAACGGTCCACAGGAGGAAAGCATACTCCTGTCCAGCTACCAAAACAATAGCAGGGAAGGGGAGGCCGAGGGTAGCCCACTTACCTTGCCTTGGTAAGCGTCTCCCTGCTGTTGGATTTAGCTTCCAGTTGTGTCATTTCAAATGCCCGTGATTCTCTACCGTGTGCAAGACAAGAGCATGAACACTTGCTTTTCCAGCGAGGCCCCGAGCCACCCTCCTCCCTTTCCCTTACACATGTCCAAGTCAGTGGGCGAGCTGGCAGCCCGGTGTCTGCAGCACATGGGGTGCCCCCTGTCTCATCTGCAGGCCATTGTGTGTGTGTTCACAGTTCAGAAGCTGACTCACTATCTCTGCCTGCCAACATCCTCCACCACCCCCACTCCCACCCCTATGGTCAGGGGGCATAGGTATTGAATGGCAGTGCCATCAGAGCTGAACGGCGCCTTCTCACCCAATTCTCGGCCTAGGATCAGAGATTATTTCTTCCTCCCTGAGTCTCTCAGTCCCTGCTGCACCATCCACAACTGTGGGGGAAGGGCCGACAGACTTTTTAAACTTTCTTTCCGTGCCTATCACAATACCTGGCACATACCAGATCCCCTGAAATTGTTTGTTGAGCAGACTGTTATCATAATCTCCTGTGATATTTACTACATTTTACCTTTTGGCATGGTTATTTGAGAATTTTTTAAACTTTCTAGGTCTGAGCTCTTTGATAGCAGGGCCTGTGTTTTATTTATTTTTTAATCTCCTGAAGTACCTGGTTCTTGGACTCCATGAATATTTAATAGCCTGAAATAAACAGAATTTAATTCCTGGATAGTTGAATTTGAGAGGTGGAAATGATCATATGGTTTTTATTTCTGTTTGTCTCAGGGGAAACTGAGTCAAAGAAAAATAAATAACTCACAAGCTGATGTGTCAACCAAGGCTAAAAATCCAGAGAGAAAACCAGCAGTAAAAGAGCATTGTAATATTAGAAAGCTTCCAGATCTCTGCCTTCAGGAGTGTTTCCTACCTGTCACACAAAGATCTGTCATACAAACTATGCTTTGTTTGCTGGAAAGCCTCCTGAAGCTGAATGGGTTTACTTTGGCATCAGTGGAGGCCATGATTGAGGGTGGAGATGAGACATTGGATCGCTCTTGTGTGGCTTCCGCATGGCCGTCGTGGTTCCTCTGCCCAGCCCTCTCCTGCGAGGGACTTGATCAGCTCCAGGGCGCAGCTTGTGCGTCTGCGCCCATGGCCAAGTCCCTTTGGCTCCCTTCCCCTTGGCTCTGGTTTGGCCTGACTCTGCCTTCTGCTCCTCAGGTCTGTCTAGGTTTAGTCCTATGTAATCATTTGCAGCAAAGCCTGCCCATGACTGGAAATGCAATCCTGGCTTGGCAGGAAAGGGGTTTGTGCAAGAGCTGGCTGTACCTGTGTCTGAAACACCTGAGGCCCTCCCAGGCCTAGGGATGCAAGAAGCCTGGGTTGGCAAAACTGGCCTTCCTGCCAGGGCTGAGGAGCACTGGAGCCCTAGAAGGAGGCTGCTGTCCAGCCCCTTGGCCAGCCAGGGCAAGGGCCTCTGTAGTCAGACATGAATTCACAAATGGGAAGAGCAGGAGGTGACTCAGATACACCTCCCCCATAACTGCTAATAATAGTGAATTATTAAGAACATAAAATCAGGATCTTGTTTCCCACATAGAGATCAGGCCCATCAGCCCTGAGTGGTTATATAATCCACCTCGCACACGTGGATAATATTGAGACTGGCACTTCCAAGCAGAAGCCTGCTAAATAAGGACATGTTTATTGTTTCTTCTACCTCATCAAAATGTCTGTTTCTTATTCCTAAGAATGGCAGGGAGTAAAGGATTATTTATTTCCCTTGATATTTTTCATTTCAAGAATCAACATGGGCAGATTTACAGTGTTCACAAACATGCTGGTAGCAATTTGATTGCAGGAAGAATGAAATTTTGCTCAGGCAAGTGCAAATTTGTCTGTTGTGGTGAGAATGGCTATCCATGCCTGTATAAATGGTGCTATTCTACCCTGAAGATACATTTTAACAAGGATGGTGGTAATAGTTTTTATTCTTTTGTTCTCTCAGATGCATTCCATTAAAATTAAAGCCTGAAATATATTAACTTGATGAAATGGATTTGTTTCTACTTGATGTGTTGCTTTGTGAAACTTTAGCATTGTCTCATCACCCACAATGTTCAACAGAACTGCTGACACTGGTCCACGTGGCCGGCATGGAGGGAACCATGATTCCTCTGAGAGCAGTCTAATAATCCGTTTCTTGGACCTGCTTAATTCCAAGAAAAACAAATTAGTTTAATATATTTCTAGAAATGGAAACTCTTGGATACATCAGAAACAAATTTGAATTTAGGCAATCTAATTAACCTTTAGCTCAAAACGTCGGTATTTTCACAACTCTTTTAGACAGAGATCATTGTTAGTGGTTGCTTCAAACTTTTTTTCTTCAGATCTTTGATCTCTAAAAAGCAGTTTATGATTTTATTTTGACCCTAGTATGCTGGGATGTCTTCTTGACATGATTTTCTTGCATTGCTCTGGCTCCACTTTTATGGGAACTTCTTTCCTTTTCTCTTTTGTGCTCTTGGCTCACAGTGGCCCAGCCCGCTTTGTGCACGGTGGTGGAGTGTGCTCTGGTTGCCTCTGCCCAGGTTGGTGTGCCCAGAGCGGGAGGGACGCTGTTTTGACCACAGCACTTTGGCCTTAGAATGATGCAGAGAATCCATGTCACTGCCTGTTCTTCTTTCTTTACTCTTTTAAAAAAATACTTCTATTCCTTCTATTAAAGTTTACTCACTTTCTGGCTTAAGGAGTCAAATCGTTCTGCAAGGTTTAGTACCAAGCCCCAGCAGTCTCCTGTACACGTTTCCCTCTTCCCCGACTCTCTCCACCTTCCTGTTTCTTCCTCCCTAGAGGCTGCCAGTTTCAACCCTTTGACATCTGAGTCTTTGGAATCATTCTCTGTATCTCTAAGTAACATGTTCATATTGCTGCTTCTTGATTTCTTTACGTTTTAAATATTCCCCTTTGACCATGCAATGTGAAATATGAGGACTTAGCCATGTCTCCCCTACCCTAACACCAAACCAACCAAAAGGCAGCCTTTTCATTCTTCTAACTTCTCTGCAGTTAGAGCATATTTTGGGATAGATCGGTGCTCTGCATTAGGTTATGTTGACTGATGCTATCCACTGGTGAAATATTTAGTAAACTGTAATTACCTTTTCTCTTTCACATAACTTTTTCTTCAGTCTTTTTTTTTTTTTTGTCTGCTTAGTTTTCTGTATGCTTTTCAGTAATGCAAACGCACACTGTCTGCAAATGGCCTGAACTGACTCTCAATACATTCACATACATCACTCTTTTGGTTTGATCTTTTGGAGATGTCTGTCCCAGAGCCTCTGACCTGCCCCTACCTAGGCAGGCTGTTCTTTTATCACATAGGTGTACTGCTTCCTGTGTCTTCCTGTGTATTATGTTTTTCAGGGGTTCAGTTGGAGGGCCAGAAACCACACGAGCTATTTTAAACAGAAAGAGACTTAAAACAGAGATTAGGTGCTTTCTAAATTATTGGAAGGGCTGGAGGAGTGGGCTTGAGACTAGGTTTCCAGCAATGCCCCAAAACCACACAGTTGCCCTGGCCTGCCAGGGGTGTTGCTTTATCTACCGCATTAGGATGGGAGGGAGTCAGGAGGCCGCCTCTGTGACTATTCACTTCAAGAACATTCTGCTGTAGCTGCAGTCCAAGGATCAGAACCTTACATTGCAGCTACTGCCTCTTGATACCCATGAAGCTGGTGACTGACTGCTGGAGTACTTACAGAACAGTCCAGTAGCCCTCTACATGCTGATCAGGAGGGAGAGCCAAGCTTCAGAACGATGGCCTCCACCTTCACTTCTCGAGTCTTACTTGAGTACATCTAATTGGAAAAAACCTGATTTACTCAAGGAACTCAGTTGTCAGAAAGGCCAGAAAATGTGGTGTTTAGCTTTCTGGGTTCTGTAGTACAGAAAGGCAGATGGGAGTGGAAGTGAATGCTGAGTGCCGTTCCACCGTGCACACCACACCAGGGCACTCTCTGTGTGTGTGTGTGTGTGTGTGTGTGTGTGTGTGTGTGAGAGATTATGGGCTTGTTTTGATGGACTGCAGACATTTTAATATCTTTTTTTTTTTTTTTTTGAGTCACGGTCTCACTCTGTCACTTAAGTTGGAATGCAATGGCACGATCTCAGCTCGCTGGAACCTTTGCTTCTCAGGCTCAATCGGTCCTCCCATCTCAGCCTCCCGAGTAGCTGGGACTACCAGCAAGCACCACCCGGCCTGGCTACTTTTTTCGTATTTTTAGTAGAGATGGAGTCTCACTACATTGCCCAGGCTGGTCTTGAACACCTGAGCTCAGGTGATCCACCCACCTTGGCCTCCCCAAGTGCAGAGATTACAGGCATGAGCCACCATGCCTGGCCCAGACATTTTAATTTCTGATCATTTATTTTTAGCCAGTTTTTCTCCCTGGGACTTAAAATTTTTTGAATAGCTTATTGAGGAAAAATGTAGGTAATTGTTCAAGGATTATTTAGTAAATTTATAGAGTTTTCCAGCCACCATCACAATCAACCCCAAAAAGTTTCCTCACGCCCATGTGCAGCCAGTCATTACTCTCTCCCAGCCCCAGGCAGCCACCTGTTCTACTGCCTTTTTTGAGAGAGGGTCTCACTGCTGTTGCCCAGACAGGAGTGCAGTGGCGCGATCCACTGTCCTACTTTCTGTCTCTATAGATTTGTCTTTTCTTGACATTTTAGGTAAATGGAATCATTTGCCTAAATCATTTACCTGCAATATGTAGTCTTTGGCATGTGGAGTTTTTCACTTAGCACAGTGTTTGATGCATGTCTCAGCAGTTTGTTCTTTACTATCGTTGAATAGTATTGTACACATTTTATTTATCCATTTACCCAGTCAGTGGGCATTTGGATCCTTTACAGTTTTTGTCTGTAATGGATAAAGATGCTATAAACAGTCACATACAGGTCTTTATGTGGCTATATGATTTCATTTCTTTGGGGTAGGCACCCAGGAGTAGAATTGCTGGATTGTATAGTAAGCTTATGATTGACTTTTAAAGAAACTGCTGAACTTTTTCTAAAGTGTCTGTACATGAGCAATATATGAGGGTTCTAGTTTCTCTACATCTTCACCAACACTTTGTATTATCTGACTTCTTGAAAATAGGTGTCCCAGCGAGTATGTATCTCATTAGTTTTACTTTACATTTTCCTCTTGAATAATCATGTTAAGCATCTTTTCATATGCTTAGTAGCCATTTGCATATATTTTCTAATGAAATGCCTATTCAGATATTGTGCCCAGTTTTAATTGGATTATTTGTCTCATTATTCAGTTGTAAGAGTTCTTTATGTATTCTAGATATAAGATCTTTATTATATGTATGATTGCTTATATTATCTTGTAGTCTGTGGTTTGTCTTTTTATTTTCTTAGTGGTATCTTTTGAAATTTTAAATTTTAATGAAATCTAATTCATCTATTTTTTTATGGATTATGATTTTCGTGTTGTACCTAAGAAATATTTGACTAACCCAAGTCACATAGATTCTCCCATGTATTTTCTTCTAGAAGTTTATTATTTTATCTCCTGCATTGTGGTATATTTTCCATTTTGATTTAAGTTTTGTGTGTGACATAAGGAAAGGTTCTAAAATTCATCTTTTTGAATGTGTATATCCATTTGTTTAGAACCATTTGTTGAGAAAACTAGTCCTTCCCAATTGAATTGCCTTGGTATCTTGGTTGAAAATCTGTATATAGTACCATGCAGTCTTGACTATTGAAGCTTTAGAATCTATTTAAAATCGGTTAGTGTTAAGTTCTCAAACTGTTCTTTTTTCAAAATTATTTTGGCTATTCTACTGCCTTTGTATTAGAATAGCAGTTTTGTCAACCTCACAAAAAAAGTCTGTTGGAATTTTAATAGGAATTTCATTGAATCTGTAGATCATTTAGAGAAAATTGCCATCTCAATAGTATTGAGTAAGGATGGAATTTATATTTATATCAGAACTTGGCAAACTTTTTTTCTGAAAGGGCTAGGTAGTAAAGAATTGTTTTCATAAACCCTGCAGTCTCTGCCACAGCTACTCAACTCCGCT